CTTCATATACAACCTAATAAAAGGACTTACCCCTATAAAAAACTCTACTTTCTGCATGATGCAACTATGAATAAAAACAAAAATATCAACTTTTTAATTTATCTTGATATATGTGGGTTAACTCCTACAAAAAGATCGATTTTATTGATAAAATGTTATATATACTAAAATTATCATCTTTAATGTTGTTTTAAAAATACACAATCACGCTCTAAATGCAAATTGATGTATGGTAATTATATTTTTTTTGATGAAATATCAAATTTATTGATCAAATTTAGTAATTGATCAATTTTGTTTTCATGGTACATGGGCATCATTTCTAATTTTTTATAGGGGTAAGTCCTTTAGAAATATCAAATTTATTGATCAACTTTAGAAAACTAAAAAAATATGCTAATTATATTTTCATGGTACATGGGCATCATTTCTAATTTTCCAACTAATATTTTATTTAAACTTTATATACAATCTAATTAGTGGACTAACCTCTATAAAATTTCTATTTTCCAGAAAAAACGGGAACACATAAGGTCTCAAACCTCTTTATTTTTCATGATATGTAAGTGCATGATGAATCTATGCATTAAAACAAAAATATAATATTTTTTTGGTTTTCTTTGAAATATGTAGGTTAATCCCTACGAAAATATGAATTTTCTGATAAATGCTATACTATTTAGCTGCTCTAATATTTTTTAAAAGTACCTAATAACACTCTAAACATTTTTATATATNTATCTAATCTATTAAAACAGAAGTACATTTTGTACTTAACCCTGAATTTTCCCTAATAATTACCAAGGAATGCCACTGTCATTAAACATAAAGTTTTGTTTTTAAATTAAACCAAGACACGTTCGAATTATTAATAAACCAAACAATATCAAACCATTACTAAACCACATAATCCTCGCTTGCCTACATATCAGTCTATACAATTAATGAAACACAATATTTGTCTTATTTCTAAACCACACAATTACAAACCATTACTAAATAAAAATAACTATCTAAATAGAATTACACCATCATACCACTGGAATTATCTAAAACATCGAATGAAGTTGGAAAATATTCATTGTTTCTCTTGGTCTACAGAATCAAAAGAGTCAATAGATACATTCCTACATACATTAACCATCGAATTCCATTGTGAATATACCTTGGTAATCTTGGTCTACAAAATCAAAACTTGTATGTTAGATTGATACAAAATATTAATATTTACATCATAACTTTTATCATTATTATTAGACATTATGTAATTCACAATCAAAACTAACTTAAAAAACGATAATATCACTACAAATTATATAATTCGAAATCGAAAGTAATAATTTAATATTCTCCTAAATAAAATTAGTTTCCAAATTTTTTTTCCTCTATTCAAGCAGTCTTCATAATAATTAAGATATTTAACCAATCACCAAAATATTCTGTTTTTCGTTTATAATCTTGAAAATAACGTATAATATCTAAGAAATTAGAAAATATAGCGTCTAATTCAAACGAATCAATTTGAGAAGAGTCATTCTCTCAAATAGCATTTTTTAAATTTTTGTCACGAAAATAAAAATCAAAGAAGAAAATTACCAAAAGACATTTCATTAAAGAGACAAAAAAAATTTGTATCATTTGCTTTATAAATATATAAATATTTTTTAAAAAAAAAAAACAAATATCTAAAAATATTTTTAAAATATTTTTAGATTATATGTTTTCAGATTCGCTCTTTTTCATTAATTTTTAAATATTTTTTCTTTTTGAAATCCGAAATTGCTTTTTGAAACTATTTTTCAAAGTTTCATTTTTAAAATTTAAATATTTATTTTGTATTTTTGAATACTTTAAATCCTAAACCCCAAAAATCCACCTCTTAACTCTAAACAAAAATGTCTTGGGTTAATTAATCATGGGGTTATAAAAATATATTTACCCTTTAATAATACTTCATTTGGTCTTTTCTACCTTATAGGTTCTTTTGTAAAAATAAATTAAAAGAGATACCTTATGAAATTCCTCATTTGAGAATAATATTGAATAGTATATTCATTTTTTAATGCTCAAAAATCATAATTACCCAATAATGTCGTTACTATATTATTGTAACCAGATTTTATCCTATCTTTCCTAACTAGATATATACCTCTTCCCTAATAACATGAATACCATATCACTGTAACCAAATACTTCAGAAAATATCATAAATCATGATTTTTACTTCTCTCTCAAAACCAAGTGCTTACATTCTTGGAAGCAGAAAACATCTTATTAAAATTCCTTTGAGATGGCATACCAATGGGTAAATCAACATTTCTAAAGGAACAATTAATCGTAAAATACAAAGTTCAACATAAATCTACAAACTCGAACATGTATGCCAAATCTGCAGTAGAAATCAATAAATCTTTCTTCTCTCATCCTTTGACTCAAGTATTCACCCGCCGTTTAGCAAACTATCATCAGAAAACAAACGGCACCAACAAAGAGATCAGAAAGAGAAACAAAACTTTCTACGGGAACAAAAAAATCGTACAAGACAAACCTGTTTCTGTTTCTTTTCCTGGAAAAAAGTTATATGCACTTATATTAATGTTTAAGGTCTACTAATTTTAAATCAAAACCAAATTGCTCAATTCAGTTAATCAGTTATAGTTGTCTTTATTGATAAAACTGTTAGAGATCTGTTTTTTTCTGAATGTTGTTTTATTGTTGTTGTCTGAAATAATTTAGTTAAAAATATCTATAAAATATAATTCTAAATAAGAATAATAGTCATAAAATTTACAGTATAATTTAATAGAACACACAGAGTTTCAACAAAAATACTCTAATATTTTACACTTAATTGTTTAATTTACTACATAAAATAAAAAAATACAATATCAAAAATACAACATGATAGTTAAATAAAATACTAAACAAAATGAACAAGATACACCGACATCATAACTCAGTAACCTATAAACATAAACATGAATGTTTATACAACTAACACAAACATATAATTATACAAAACATACACCCGCGCGGACGCGCGGGTCAAAAGCTAGTNATATATATATATATATATATATATTTTAAAGTTTAGTTTCTTTAATGTTGTTTCAAAAGTAATTAACCACACTCTAAATTCAATTGATTTATTCTAAACATAGTTTTATTGTACATGGGTATCATTTCTAATTTTCGAACGAGTAATTTATTAAACTTTATATACGACCTAATTAGTAGACGTTCTCCTATAAAATCTCTATTTTCTAGTAAAACCGGAAAATATAAAGTCTCAAACCTATTTAATCTTTATACTATGTCAGCCTATGTTGCATGAGTGCATTAAAACAAAAATATCATATTTTTTTAGTTTTCTTTGAAATATGTGGGTTACCCCTTACGAGAAGATTGCATTTTCTGATAAATGCTATCTATACTATTTAGTCGCTTTAGTATTGTTTCAAAATACCTAATAAAACTCCTTTTATATATATAAACATATTTTTATGGTACATGGACATCGTTTCTAATTTTCCAACGAGTAATTTATTTAAATTTTATATACGATTTAATAAGTGGACTAACCTCTATAAAATGTCTACTTTCTATTTTGTAGAAAAATGGGAACATATAAGGTTTCACATCTCTTTAATCTTCATACTATGTTAGTGTATTATGCATCTATGCATCTCTTTAATTTTCTAATTTATTTTGATATATGTGGGCTAACCCATACAGAAAGATCAAAGTTTTTGATAAATAATATATATATATACATATATATATATATATATATATATATATATTAAAGTTTAGCCTCTTTAATGTTGTTTTAAATGTATTTAACCACACTCTAAATGCATATTGATTTATGCTAAACATATTTTTACTGTACATGGGTATCATTTCTAATTTTTGAATGAGTAATTTATTAAACTTTATATACGACCTAGTTAGTAGACGTTCTCCTATAAAATCTCTATTTTCTAGCAAAATCAGAACACATAAGGTCTCAAAGCTATTTAATCTTTATACTATGTCAGTGTATGATGCATGAGTGCATTAAAACAAAAATATCATATTTTTTTAGTTTTCTTTGAAATAATATGGGTTAACCCTTACGAGAAGATTGCATTTTCTGATAAATGCTATCTATACTATTTAGCCGCTTTAGTATTGTTTTAAAATACCTAATAAAAATATAATTTTTGATATATATAAACATATTTTTATGGTACATGGACATCATTTCTAATTTTCCAACGAGTAATTTATTTAAATTTTATATACGACCTAATTAGTGTATTATGCATCTATGCATTAAAAAAAAAATATCATATTTTCTAGTTTTCTTTGAAATATGTGGGTTAACCCTTACGAAAATATTGAATTTTCTGATAAATGTTATCTATATTTTTTAGCCGCTTTAGTGTTGTTTAAAAATGTATAATAACACTCTTAATTGATATATAAACTTATTTTCATGGTACATGAACATCATTTCTAGTTTTCCAATGAGTAATTTATTTAAGCTTCATATACAACCTAATAAGTTGACTAACCCCTAAAAACACATTTATTATATAAAAATTAACTATTTTAAAAAGTAACTAATATTAAATAGACGCACTATTTCAAAAAACAGTTTTATTACATAAATATCTATTAGGTGTTTTTTTAGATCTAATTTTTATTTGTAATAGAAAGATATAACATTTCACTTAGATAAAATTTATAATCTTTGACATCAATTGAGATTACAATTATTAATAGCTATATAGTATTCTATGATAAAATTCAGTAAATATTATAAAATTAACATTTATTGACTTGAATTTTTGTTAGATTGACGAATATGTAAGCATATAAACACTAGATCATTTAAATTAACATATTAGCCAATATATTTTGTATATATATTTGATCACATATTAAACAGATATCCAGAACCGAATTGAAACCGAACATTAACCAAACCGAAATCTCATAAATATCTATTGGGTAAGAGAATGATTTATTCGTTATACCAAAACCTACATAATGATATCAAGAACTACCAAAAGAAAATTAAAAGCATATACATAATTTATTAAATTGATTGGTGAACAATCTTTATTTTCTGGTCTGCAAGAACATAGACACAGAAACTTCCCGTATTGTATTTTAATCTCAGTTTCGTGTTTTGCTCAGAACAAGAACCGAATAAACAACAACCAGCTACTACAGACAGAGAAACCAAAGCCCTGGATGATGTTCTTTAGTTTCTTTTACTAGTGATCAAGAATATAATCATTACGGTGAAGCTTCAGGTTGGTGTTGTGGACTCGGTATCAGCTCAGGTGCTACACCAAAGTGCAATCCTCCTCTGCGTTGAACTCCACCGCCATTGTGTAACATAAACGCAACTTCTGCAGCCGCCAGAGCTGCTGCTTCCTGATATAAACAACACACAAGACATAAGTAAACATAAAATCTTAGACTTATGTGTGTGCAGTGGGTTATTTTACCTGTCTTTGTCTACGGCGTTGTAATATACTGATTGCCCAAGCCATAATGTAACAAGGGAGGAGAAAACCAGCAGCACGTAGCATGAAAAGCTGACGAGAACCAAAGGGAAACACAAAAGAACAAGCGTTATGACAAGAAAGCAAATATTAATTAAGATTATGTAAAGGACAGTGAGCTTACAAAGAAGAAAGCTGAGGGATCATCTTCTCCATCGTCTGAGGTGTTGTTTGAAAGGTTCATAGCGTGACGTAACAACAAAAGTGCCATTAACTGCCAATTTAACCATCAATAATAAGTTTCTATTTTTAAACAAAGAAATGTTATAAACAGAACATAAGTGTGTAGGCTTACTATAAGAGCAGCGGAGCGAAGAAAAGCAGTTCCACTAGAGTTGGCATCAGCATATTCATCATAGTCCGCATCAAAGAAGTGGCGTTCTGCAGCCGCCATTGCTAAAATGCGCGGGTCGTTTAAGTCTAAGGGCACACCATTAGCCCAATCTTCACTGCATAACACACACACAAACATAACGCATTATGAGGAACGTTTCTTGATATTTTTCTATATGAAACCATAAGAGACATAGATTCAGAAAACGTTACCGGATATCGATTATAGTATCATCAGGAGGAGGTGGTGGTGGAGCTGTATAGCCAGGTTGATAAGACTGTTATCATAAAAAGGAGAAGATAACAATATCTTAGTACTCTTGTATGAAAAAGGATTATTATGCATGTCAGTGATTACTATTATGCATAGGCGACAAATCAGATTTAAGCGAAATGATTTCTTAAAATGATTATTTAAAACAAAAAAATCGATCTAGGCGTCCGAATAAACAATAATTCCTTATAAAATGACTAATAAACGCCTAGCGATTTCTTGAACATTGATTATTATATTTACCTTGTGGCATATTTCACAGATAGTGTCGCCTTTCTCATTACACCAACGTTGAACACACTTCCTATGAGCATACTGAAACACAACAGAAAAAAAAAACAAAAGAGTCCAGTTTTCAGGTGGAATATACCTACAAAAAAAAAAAAAACAGAATAACAACTCACCTTCAAGCTGCCGATACAAGAACATGGAGACTCGAGGTTTTTAACAGAATCTTCCTCTTGACAAATACGGCATTCAACTGATTGAATAAGTGGTTCCTCTTCATTAGTGACATGTCTTTCTTCTTCTACTTCCTCAGGTTTAGTAGAAGACATGCTTGTGGCGCCTTGAGCTTTAGAACTTTCTCCATTGGATACCTTCTCTGTGTTTAAGTGATCAGATGTAACGAGACGGTCGGTACATGAACTCAGATGATCAGACATCTCCTCAATGCTGAAAAAAACGTTGACCTGTAATAAAAAAACAAGAAATCCCCCAAAATTACAAATGTTCTATTTTCAAGAATCCAAATTTTAATAATGAAAACTAAAGAGAGGGACAAATATGAGTATAGATCACAATTCAGAAATGAAACCGTAAAAATAGCAGAAATCAAAATTCTCAATCGGTAATCTAAAGACAAAGACAAAGATAAAGATCAAAGATTATTATTGTTACCTGATAGAAAATAATCTGGAAATCGTAGAAACAAGCGATCTTTGGACAAATGTGTTTTCTTGTTTTGATGATGTTCGGTCTGAATGATTTTTTTGGAGATAAGTAATTATTAAATGTCTTGAAGCGCGTGTATACTGTATCTATACGTTTTTGTAATACACAAAAACGGAGTTTATGGATGTTGATGGTTTGACACGGTGCGTCCGTTAAAAGGCATTCTCAGATGAGTTGATAATCTCTCTCTCTCACCTACTCTTAGACCAAGCGGTAACGGAGTTAGTTTCTTGGTGTTATCAGATTTTTCATAATTTTCTTTTAAAAAAAATTGTACCAATCCTGGTAATTTTTGGGGTGTAAATGTTAAATAATCCTGATATTTGTTTGATTTAGATAATCTGGTATCTAAAAGAGAAAATGATATATAAGAAAATTTTAACATTTTTTTAGTGTAAATGTTAAATAATCCTGATATTTGTTAGAATTTAGATGATATGGTGTCCAAACAAAGAAGATAATATATAAGAACATTTTAACATTTTTTTTTTAGGTGTAAATGTTAAATAGTCTTGATATTTGTTAGAATTTAGATGATATGGTGTCCGAAAAAGAAGATAATATATAAGAAAATTTTAATATTTTTTTTGGGTATAAATGTTAAATAATCATGATATTTGTTAGAGTCTAGATAATAGGGTATCCAAAAAAAAGAAGATAATATATAAGAAAATTTTAACAAATAAGATAAAAACTAATATTTTAGAAATTCAGTATTGAAATGTTGATCAGTTATTCATTCAAATAAAAAGGTTATCATAAATAGAAATATTTTGTAATTTGAATATCTCTAATGCTTAAATGGTTTCTAGAAATATTATAAATAAATAAAAGAACTCTACTAGATATAAGTTTTATTCTAATATATACATGTTTAAAATACTGATATTTAAGAAAAGTAGAAAAATATTATTTTTAACAACATCATTTTAAAAAAATATATAAAATTAAGTTGGAAATGTTTGTATACTTTTACATTACAAACTCATTAACAATTAACATAGGGTCCGATTAGTAATGTCTGTAACTTTAAAGTTTTTGCTGTAGAAAAAAATCTGTAGATTTTTTGCTGTGGCTTTAGATTTTATTGCTGTAGATTTTTTGGAAAACACTAAAAAATTGCTTTGGATATTTGACTCTGCAAAGCACATATTTTATTGTTGTAGATTTTTTGGAAAGCACTAAAAAATTGCTTTGGATATTTGACTCTGCAGAGCATTTGTATAACTGTAAATTATTTCAAGAGTTGTGGTTTCAGAAAAAAATTAAAACTTAATTGTTCTAAATTTATGTTGTAGAAATAAATAGGGCTATAGACATCACCTACAACAACTACGAATCACCCCATAACCTCACTAAAACTTATTGTTTATACGGAAAACAGTAAAGGAGTATAAATAAACAAAGCAATTAAATTAACAAAACCGAACCGGTTTAGTGTAATTGAAAACTGACACTATATAACAATACCAATTTTCTAATTTTTCAGTAGCACACTCTGTCTAAACCTTAAACCCTAGCTGAGAGATCATCGCTTTAACAATGGCTGAGCAACAAGGGATCATCGCTTCCGACCCAATAACAGACACGGAAGTCGAAGCTGCGGTATAACATAAACTAGTGTTTCTCCTGTTCTTGTCTTTTTGCCTATTGTTTATTGTAAAGTTTCGATTTTTATTGTTAATATTATTAAAGTTGTGACTTTGTAGCTATACTGAGACACCTTGTGAAGTGGGTTACTTTGATTACTGCAAAAAATTATGTTCTTTGTCAGTTTTGATTGAGTTTTTTTGTGTGTGTAGAAACTCTGTTTTGTCTCTTATTTATTGATTGGTAATAATGTTTGTGGTTTTAGATGAGTGTTTCTCTTGTTCTTGTTTTTTTGCCTATTGTCTATTGTAAAGTTTCGATTTTTATTGTTATACTCGCCGATTTGCTCAAAATTGATTTCTAAAGCCCTAAACTTTGGTGGTGGGTATTGAGAAGATGGAGGAAGAGAAGGAAGTGGTGAAGACGTTTAAAGAGCTAGGTGTGCGTGAGGAGCTTGTGAAAGCTTGCGAAAGGTTGGGATGGAACAACCCTACCAAGATTCAAGCTGAAGCCCTTCCTTATGCTCTTGAAGGTACACAGTCTTTGAGACCAAAGCAAAGCTTGTAACTATTATTAGGGTTTTGTTGACTTGAATCTAATTGTAATTAATTTTTTTGGCAGGGAAAGATGTAATTGGACTTGCGCAAACCGGTTCTGGTAAAACCGGAGCCTTTGCTTTGCCTATTTTGCAAGCACTTCTTCAGTATGTTAATGATGCTGAGCCTAAGAAAGGACGTAGACCTGATCCTGCTTTCTTCGCCTGTGTTTTGTCTCCAACTAGGTTTGTTTCTCTTACTAATGTTTGGTTTTATTGTTCTGTGGATTTGATTTAATTGTTATTTTTTTTTTCTGATTTGTAGAGAGTTAGCAATACAGATTGCTGAGCAGTTTGAAGCTCTAGGATCTGATATTAGTCTTAGGTGTGCTGTGGTAAGCTGATGTTTTTTTACCCATCTTTACTTACTGTAAATTAATATAAATTGGTGATACAAAATGGTTTTTAACTGTATATGTTTTTTTTTACAGCTTGTTGGAGGTATAGACAGGATGCAGCAAACTATTGCTCTTGGGAAACGGCCTCATGTTATTGTATGTTTATTTTATTTAATTGTTAGTTGTTTGAGTGTATGCAGTTACTTAATATTGTTATATAGGTTGCAACACCTGGTCGTCTTTGGGATCATATGTCTGACACTAAAGGCTTTTCTCTAAAGACGTTGAAGTATCTGGTAAGTTTAAGCTTTTTTTTTTGTTTGTTTGTTTTGGTATATAGTTTGTTATTTGTTACCATCAGTTTTTTTATTTTAAATCTACTTTACATTGTTTGTGGTCAGGTTCTTGATGAAGCAGATAGACTGCTGAATGAAGATTTTGAGAAATCTCTTAACCAGATTTTGGAAGAGATCCCTCGTGACCGTAAAACGTATCTCTTTTCAGCAACTATGACTAAAAAGGTAGGAACCTTGCTTGCTTGTATTAATCGATCTAACTGCTCTCTGTAATATTTTGGTGATGTGGAAGTGTTATGAACGATCAACTGATTTAAAGTGACTGAATATGTTTTTTTGTTCTTGTAGGTTCGGAAACTTCAAAGAGCATGCTTAAGGAATCCTGTGAAGGTACGGAATCAATAAATTTTAACTTTAATGTATAACATTTTTGATGTTTATTGTTTACCTTTAGATTGAGGCTGCCTCCAAATATTCCACAGTTGATACTCTTAAACAGCAGTATCGGTTTGTTCCTGCTAAATACAAGGTACCTGGTAGATATATATAGATAATAGCAAACACATATTTAACCTCTTTGAATGTAATGATTTGAACAGGACTGCTACCTTGTGTACATTCTGACTGAAATGCCAGACTCAACATCAATGATTTTCACCCGAACTTGTGATGGTACTCGTTTCATGGCTTTGATGCTTCGGAGCCTTGGCTTTAGAGCCATTCCTATCAGTGGTCAAATGACTCAGGTTAATGACCAACCTACTCCAGTTTCTAATGATTACAACATAACTTGAGACTTGGTTGAAATTTTCTCATATTTCTTTTTTCCAAATATCCACAACAGACAAAGAGATTAGGAGCATTGAATAAGTTCAAAGCAGGGGAATGTAACATCTTGGTTTGCACGGATGTCGCTAGTAGAGGGCTTGATATCCCATCTGTTGATATGGTTATCAATTACGACATTCCCACAAACTCAAAGGTTAGCTCCCTTCTTCCTCTGTTTTTTTTTTCATGTCTCAGTGATATTAAGAACATACATTCACAACCTTCCAAGTTTTTTTGTCATAGGATTACATTCATAGAGTGGGAAGAACAGCTCGTGCTGGACGTTCTGGTGTTGGGATATCACTTGTAAACCAGTATGAGCTCGAATGGTACTTGCAAATTGAAAAACTCATAGGTAAGTAAGTAAAACAAAAATAATCAATTTAGTTTTGTTCTCTCATAGGATAAAGACATGTGACAATGTTTGTTTCTACATTCAGGCAAGAAGCTACCTGAATATCCAGCTGAGGAGGACGAAGTCTTGTCATTGTTGGAGAGAGTTTCAGAAGCCAAAAAATTATCCGCAATGGTACTTTTTTTTACTTAGCATAATAATACTGTTTAAAAGGTTAATATTTGTTTTTGCTTCTCTCTTAGATTATGAGTGTTCTTTTGGCAAATCTCTGTTGCAGAATATGAAGGAATCAGCAGGTAGGAAGAAGAGAAGAGGAGAAGATGATGAAGAGAGTGAGAGGTTCTTGGATGGTAACAAAGGAGGTAATAAAGGAGATAACAGAGACAAGAAATCTTCCAAGAAGTTCAAACGATAAAACTACTTGTGTTTTCTGATAAACTCTCACCAAAGTTTTGAATTTCTCTTTTGTATTCTTGAATGTAAAGCTCAGGACCTCTCTGTTGGGTAATTTGGTTTTCTTCTTAAATTGCAGAAACCTGATTAATCTAGTATGCGTTTCCGATTCCCTTATGCAATTAACAAATCATATAAACCGGTCTACTTTACTTACCTCTGCTCTCACTCTAGTTTTAACAGCTAAGAACATATGTGCATCAAGAACAGAACTTGCGAACAAGAAACTAGACCACAACTTTATAATGTGGGTTTAAAATTTAAATGTTAAATAATCCTGGTATTTGTTAGTTTTAGATAATATATGGTATCTAAAAGAGAGGATAATCTATAAGAAAATTCTAACATTTTTGGGGTGTAATTGTAAATGTTAAACAATCCTGGTATCTGTTAGATTTAGATGATATGACATCCAAAAAAGAAGATAATATGTAAGATTTTTTTAAAAAAAAATATGGTGTAAATGTTAAACAATCCTGGTATTTGTTAGAATTTAGATAAGATAAAGTCCAAAAGAAGATAATATATAAGAAAATTTTAACAAATAAGATAAAACTAATAGAAAATTTTAGAAATTCGATATGGAAATGTAGATCAATTATAATATATAAGAAAATTTTAGAAATTCGATATGGAAATGTAGATCAATTATTCATTCAAATAAAAACGTTATAATAATAGAAATATTTGTGATTCTAATATCTCTAATGCTTAAATGATTTCTAAAAATATTATAAGTAAATACAAGAAATCTATTAGATATAATTTTTTATCGTAATATATGTATATATATATATATATTTAAAATACTGATTTTTTAAAAAAATTAGAAAATGTCATTTTTTAAAAAATATATAAAATTAAGCTGGAAATGTTTCTATACTTTTACATTACAAACTCATTAAACATAATCTCATAAAAACTAATTGTCTATAGGGAGGAAAATAGTAAAAGAGTATAAATAAATAAATAAAGCAATTAAATTAACAAAACCGAACCAAAACCGGTTAAGTGTAATTGAAAACCGACACTATATAAGAAAACCAATTATCTATCTTTTCAGTAGCACACTCCGTCTAAAGCTTAAACCCTAGCAACCGCACAAAGAGAGTGAAAAGGCGAAAACTTCTCAATGGCTGAGCAACAGGAGATCATCGCTTCCGACCCAATAACAGAAGTCGAAGCTGCTGAGAAACGTGCGAGAGAGGAGACAGAAACAGAGGATGCTGGAGGCGAATCTAAGAAGCAGAAAGTGGGAGAAGATGAAGAGAAACTTAACGGGTCGGATCCGGTTAAACTAGGTCCGAAAGAGTTTGTTACCGCTGTGGCGATGTTTGATTACTTCACCAAGTTTATGCACTTCTGGCCAACTGATCTCGATGTCAACAAGGTATGACATAAACTATGTGTTTCTCTTTGTTCTTGTCTTTTTGCTTTTTTTTTTAGTTGTAAAGTTTCGGTTTTTATTGTTAATATTGTAAAAGTTGTGACTTTGTAGCTATACTGAGACAGTTTGTGAAGTGGGTTCCTTTGATTACTGCAAAAAGTCTGTTCTTTGTCAGTTTTGATTGAGTTTTTTTTTTTTTGTGTGTAGAAACTCTGTTTTGGCTCTTATCTATTGATTGGTAATAATGTTTGTGGTTTTAGATGATGCTATGTGTTTAGGAAGAGGATAATACATGATTAAAGTTCGTGACTTTGTAGCCAAACTGAGACAGATGATAAGTGTGGCATATAAAAGTCTGTTCTTTGTTTGGTTATAATGTCTTGTCTCTTGCCCTTTTTAATTGTAAAGTTTCGATTTTTATTTTGAATATGAAAAAAAAAATGTGACTTTGTAGTGAAAATGTGTTCCTTTGTAGTTGTTACTTTGATTATGGTTGGAAAGTTCTTTGCAAATCAATGTGTTTCTTTGGTTTTGGTTGAGTTTTGTATTTTAAAGCTCTGTTTTGTTTCTTATTTATTGATTGGTAATAATGATTATTGGTCTGGATGATGCAATGTGTTTAGGAAGAGGTTAATACATGATTAAAGTCGTGTATAATGGTTGTGTATATTTGATTCTGCAATTTGTTTATGACAGTGTTCTGTCTTTTTAAACTGTTTTTTTTAAAGAAAAAAATTGGTCTAGACGTTAATAAATTGGTTAAAAATCGGTCTAGGCGCCCGTCTAAACAATAATCCTCGTGTTTAATTACCCCGTATCAATTTCTTGAACATTGGTTTAAAAGGAGGTTAAATTGAGGTATAATGTATGTGCATGTTATTACAGTTTCTTTGAAGATTCTAACTAACTTGTTTACATTTTCAGTATGAATACATGGTGCTGCTAGATCTGATCAAGAAAGGCCACACTGAGCCTGACAACAAGATTGGAGGAGGAATCAAAGCCTTCCAAGTAAGAACCCACCCAATGTGGAAGAGCCGCTGCTTCTTTCTGGTTAGGGAAGACGATTCTGCTGATGATTTCAGCTACAGGAAATGCGTTGATCACATCCTCCCGTTGCCTGAAAACATGAAGACTCCTGGATCTAATGGTAATGGACATGGTGGAGGAGGTCGTGGTGGTGGTGGTGGAAGGAGAGGTGGTCGTGGTGGTGGTAGAGGTGGGAGATTCAGAAGATGAATTTTGGTTGCTGTGGCTCTTGTTGTCTTTCTTTAGATTTGAAGTTTTGGAGCTTTTATGTTAAGTTCTGTTGCTATAGACTTATTTAAAGTTATGATGTTGTCTAATGCTACCTAAGTTTAAGAATCAGAAGCAGCAGCTTGTCTCTATGTTCACAATTTGAGAGGAAACTTTGACTTTGGGCTTTTTCTTGCTAAATGGGCTTATTAATCTTGAAGATTCTTTGGGCTTCTAGGCCTGCTTCTAATCTCAGGATCTCTATATTCTCCTGTGAGAATCTCAATCTCGTGTTAAAGTATAACTAGAAGGTTATTTGTTAAAATGGATCCAATGGAAGAGAAGTGTTGCGAACTAAAATGGTATATTATGTGTGGCTTTTTTCTAATAGGTTCGGTTCAAAGATATGACCATTTCAGAGCATACATTTGTTTGGCCAAATTCAGAAATTTTAATATCTTAAAAAAATGAGAATTTGTTAAAAATACCAAATTAAGTACCATTTTTTTAAAAGACCACAAATAAAAACATATACTAACATTTGGTTTATACTGCAGTGATTATTGTTTAGAGTTTAATATTAAAAGGTTAGAGTTGATTTTTTTAAATGTTTAAAAAATTAATTTAGTGTTATTGTATCACAAATTTAGAGTATTTGTGAAAATAATTATTTATTAATGATAAATTTGAAAAGTGCTATCAAACTTGTGGTAGAATTGAAATTCTCCCAAAAATATCATGTAAGCATAATTAATTACATGAGAAATTAGGGAATCAGCTCTTACCATTGTTGATGCTCTAAGTAGCCTTTTTCTTGCAATAAGTTACATATATTCGACTAATGGAGCCAACAACTCTGGCGGTATTCTTGTGTTTGTATTGTTTGTATGCTTTATCCTTTGTTTTTTCAACGAGAAGTTTAGTGAACATGTCTTTGTTTTTTACAAAGTGTGAACATGTCTTGGCAAATAAAAAAGATTGACCAAAAACAAATGATCATTCTTGTTAATATGGTCACACCAAAACCTGATCCAAGAACCAATCAGGTCAGGGGCCTAGGGGGTTTAGGAGAAAAGTAAAATATCATAGGCCACATGAATTTGTGGCTGGAAATCAAACGAAAATGCTGACGTGTGACCCACTTCACTTTTTATAAAACGTATCAAAATCTCAAATCTCACGATTCTAAACCCAAAATTTTCCAATCTACCAAACTCAAGAAAAGAAAAGAAAAAAGAAAGAGAGAGTCAGAGACCTACGATAAACAAAACACTACAAAAAAAAAAATAATGCTAGAAAGTAAAGATCCAGCGATCAAGCTCTTCGGGATGAAAATTCCTCTTTCAAAGGTTTTACAAGCTGAAGAAGATGAATTATCCGCAGAGAAGGTACTGATTCTTGCTTTGTTACAAAGATAGTTTTAAAGAAAAATGGTTTTGATATTTTGTTGGGCTTGAAAACCATTTCTGCTTATTAACCATATGATAGTAGCTACGTACTAGCTAGTAAAGTTAAAACTCGATGTGGTCTCATGTGTTTATGTTCAATTTTCCATTTAATACAGAGGTCAAGGTTTTTTTTCATATAACTCAATGTTCCTCTTTAGATCATTCTTAGTTTGGGAGTCTGTTTTTTTTTTTTTTTGGTGAAGTTGAGGTTGTAGTACTGTTTTGTTCGGTGACTTTTCATGACACGAAAAAGCACATTCGTTTTCTATAAAATAAAATCATATTTTAGTAAAAAAGGATTGCTTTTTCGTTTGATAAACATTAAAAAGTGAGACAGAGAATTTAGGTTTAGGTAAAGTGTATTCTCAAAAATACTTTTTGTCCACCAAAATTTTATCTAGAACCTTCATCTTCAGATACTCATCAATAATAAGCAATATATATTTTCAAATTCATTTAGTTATTCTTTAGCTCATTTCGTTATATCATTTTTATTATATGGTCTTTAAATATATATTATTCGTTTTTAATAATCCGGTTCCATTCTATTGGCTCAGAACCAAAACGAGACATTAACTGACCAATCGGAGAAAGACAAAACCCTAAAGAAACCAACAAAGATTCTTCCATGTCCAAGATGCAACAGTATGGAAACAAAGTTCTGTTATTACAACAATTACAACGTAAACCAACCTCGCCATTTCTGCAAAGCTTGTCAAAGATATTGGACCTCTGGTGGGACCATGAGAAGTGTCCCTGTCGGAGCCGGACGACGCAAGAACAAGAACAACTCACCATCCTCACATTATCGCCACGTCACCATCTCAGAAACCAATGGTCCGGTCCTTAACTTTAGCCTCAAAGATGATCACAATACGTCGAATAATAGTTTCTTGAATCCCAAGCTAGTATCAGCTCAGGTAGAGAAGCATAACCACCACCACACGGTTGATGATTCAAGAACACGTAATGGTTTGAGTTGCATGCCTGGAGTTTCATGGCCGTACACGTGGAATCCTGGTTTTTACCCGGTTTACCCTTATTGGAACGTGCCAATAGTTTCTTCTTCGCCTTATTCAAGTCCTAATCCTACTCTTGGTAAGCATGCAAGAGAGGAAGATGAGAAGATCAAGCGAAAGCAGATTAATGGATCTGTATTGGTTCCTAAGACTTTGAGGATTGATGATCCTAATGAAGCTGCAAAGAGTTCTATATGGACAACACTTGGGATCAAGAACGAAGTTATGTTCAAAGGGTTTGATTCCAAGAAAGAGGTCAACAAAGAAGAAGCAGAGACTTCTCTCGTTCTATGTGCAAATCCAGCTGCCCTATCAAGATCAGTCAATTTCCATGAACAGATGTGATCCTATGCATACTTTATGGTTTACATGTTTTTTCGACTATGTATTCATAGGCTTTAACAGTTTTTGTACCATCTACGTTTTACTTTCTTTTAATAAGTTTGATTTTTATTATAAAATGAATATATTTGCAGAAGTGTTCGTTTTGACGTTTGTTTTGCAGTATCGATAGTGTGACAGAGCTAGCAGTAGAATTGTAAAAGAACTGTTACAAAATACATGAGGTAGACATAACTTTACACGAGTGGATAACAAGATAAGATAAGAAATTGATAATGTATAAAAGTGGCGCTTTCTTGAATTTTACATCTTTTATGCGATTACTAATAATTGTGAACTGGTGTGTGTGGGCACGAAAAGACAGCACAAGCTTAAGACAGCGAGTTATCTTTTTGTTGAATATGGATACAAGTTAAAAGCATGTGTAGTACTAGGGTTTTATCAGTTTTGGCCATGGTTTATCTTAAGCCGTGTCTAGTATTCTTTTTCTTTTTGGGTTTTAAATCTTCGAGATTTGTTAAGAAATGTATTTCTCAGATAATTTGTTGACCATCCATATCAAAACAATGTAATCAGGAACCGACCTTATATAAACAAATTTAGAAAAAAACGAAGACAATAGACAGTCTCTTCCCTTTTTGATATTGTGTTGAAAAAGGTCATATAATATGTTTTCTTAATTTCATTTCATTTCCTTTTTGAATACTTACGCTGGAAAGGATGGCACACATTGCTTTCCAGATTTATTTCTTTTTTTTCACAACTTTGGTCTGGTATCTGATAGCAACTTAGATATTTTGGACAGCTCAACTAATCTAAGCCACAAATGTAATATCCTGAACCATTTTTTAATTTCCATTTAATACTAAATGGCGTGGGAGACAGTATTTGTTGGCACTGAAATTAAAGAGATTGACAAGTTACTTTTTAGTTCTCTTTCCCTTTATTTTGCCCTTTACATAAATTCACTTTGTGGCAAAGCAGTTTGTCATTTCTCTAAAATCCATAGGATATAATTAGGTTATTTTCAATTGGCAGTTTAATGAAGTTTCTTTTGTTTAGTTGGTTTAAGAACATGAAAGTGTTAAAACTATGTTTTATAGTTTGTAAGAGAAAATATGAATAAAAAGGTTTCATAAACGTATAGAAGAAGCAGAGTGGTTTTAACATAGCGATTATATGTTTTTGATGCCGGATGGGTTTTTAACGCAAACGCATTTTAGTGCCTAAGGAACACAAGATATGGCTGACCTACCAGGCCATCTTGACCACTTTTCAGGATATGAAACAAAAGTTAACTAAAAATTTCAAGATCCTAACCGATCAGATTATTAGTAATGAAATCAGAATGTGCTCACATGACCACAGTAATTACTGTCGACCACCTTAACTCACCAAGCATCAGAAACCAGAGTCAATTCTCCACTATGATTCAAGAGTAAACCCACCTTTTCTTTTATAATGTTTTTTTCCAAGAATGAGACACTTTTTTGTTAAAAAGAAGGAGACACTTAACTCTTTCGAAATAATAAAAATAAACTTCAACTAGTTCAACTTCACTTCTACCTCCTCTTCCAAAGTTTACAGTTGATTTCATTACAAGATCTGATATATAACTACTCTCCTATAGCCGATATGAATTGGACGACTTTGTAAAGTTAGACCATTTTCTTTTTGTTGTGAGGCTTATAAAATTAATATACTGAATTTGTATTCACTAACTTTTTATGATCGTTATTATCTAATGTGCGAAGGTAAAGCAAAATAATTGAGTGGAATTGAAAGAAACCACATCATGTAAAGCAAATAAAATTTGATTCGTGTGGAATAAAATAGTAAACATTAAAAAGATAAATCCACTTAAAAAGTTAATCAAAATGAAACTTCGGATGAGTAGACTTCCACACGAATGGCTTCTCCTACGGGTACGACTCGTGGAAAGTAAATAATCGGTTTCACTTTCATGAATGACCGGATACTCCGCCATGTAAATTAAAAGTGAGAAAAGGACATTTGTCTTTTGATTTTGGTTATAAATTAACTCCTTATAAAAGACTTTTGTAATATAATCATGACTCATGTTCAAATATAACACGCTACATTTTTTCTGTAACATATATGACACGCTAAATATCAAACAATATTGTTTTTGTAAATGTTTAGTGAGTAGTATCGTATTTTATAAACATTAAGAAACCGTTCTGCATAAAGTGGTCTATATATACAACTATTACATTTGATCCAAATTTTAGCAAAAAAACAACTATTACATATGAAGTTTTAGGGACACAGCTAAGTCATGCACTGATGACTTCTATAAATTGAGTAGTTCTTCTTTGTAATTACTTTTTGCAAAGTAAAGGCGAACAAGAAAAGTGTTGCTGATACGAAAAACTATTGAGAAATGTGAAAGGTACGCAAAAAAGAGACGAATCCTTTTTATTGTTTTGGTCCTTTTTAAAGAAGAATAAAAATGCACAGAAAGTCGCTTTCACATTCTCATTAAACTGTGGAAAGGAAAATATAAACATCAAAATAATAAGACATAATATTTTGTTCTAACAAAATCAAATAATTTTTTCTTCTAAGAAATCTGAATCTATTAACCAAGAGCTCTTGATCTAGCGGTATAGAACTCCAGTTTGAAAATTTTGGGTTCGAATCGTCTTGACTATCTTCCCGACTATAACCGTGCTTGCTCAAATAGAAGGTTTTGTGGGAATTAGTTTGGGCTTATCGTCTGAAACCCCACGGTTATCAAAAAAAGAACTGAATCTAATAGACTAATATAGTTAAAGCAGGCTGTTATAGTGGCATCTTTCTCTGACAATGCCTCCAAATGTGCATGTCCATGTACATGTAGACTATGAAGCTAAAAACTCCCAGAGGTATATGACTCTTGATATCCAAAGGTTGATTGCTATACATAATTTTTGCATCTTCTTAACACAAAAATTACTATTCATTGAATCCAAAAATACGTGATCATTTTTTATTAGCTTTTTAAATCTGCACGAAGTTGTTTCATCTATTGCAAACGCTAATTATACGTTGTCTGCACTACATAGGCTAAGATTATAAACCAGTATCATATCGTTTTTAAAAGAAAATCCATAGTTATTGTAAATTTTGTCCAATATGAGGCGATCAAAATTTTGAGATGTATAAATGGGCCGGGCCCCATAAATTTCGTGCTCACTATGTGCTCTCTGTAAGCAATCTTAACGCCAGGTTCTGTACAATATCCACAGTTCTTCGTTTGTGAGCAGGATTCAAAATCAGAAATCGTTAAGTTCCATGAAAAAGAGGACTATATCAAATTAACCAAGAACTTGTACTTTCATGTTGTATGACTATATATACCAAGAGAAATTATGATCATAAGCAACATTATGTGAAGATGAAATTACATTTTGGATGGAATTATGTGAAGCTCTAATCAGTTATATCTCATCATCCCAAAGTTGTTGGATGGATTTGTAAGGGCTTGTGGTTTGATTAACAAGAAAATCTCCTCTCATGATCTTCCACTCCTCCAATTGGTCAATGAATGATAAGTCTTGGTCATCCAATTTAATATCTAAGGCTCTCTTGTTTTCTCTCATTCTTTCCCCATTGAAACTTTTCACTATCACACTTGCCCCTTTTGACATTCCCCACCTTAGAGCCACCTTCATTTATAAATAATTGGTTATAATCAGTTAAGGATTATTCTTACTCTTTTTATCATTTGTGGTTACATTTGCATGTTAAATTGTTTATGTAAATTCAAACACGTAATAGTCTATATTATAACAATAAGAATTATAAAGGTAATGCCAAGTTGAAAAAAAAAAGTGTTTAAACAAGGCTCTTAACTAAATGATAAAGAGCCAAAAGCAACTTATGTATATATTAGTTATAAAAAGAAAGTTATGTATATATTACTGAGTTACCTGAGCTGGAGTGGCATTATGCTTGAGAGCAATAGATTTAATGACAGGGTGTTCAATCACAGCCGTTGATCCCCAACAATTCCCTGGACCACCAAGTGGTGAATATCCACTTACATGGATCTTGTTCTCTTCACACACTTTCCTTAGCTTGCTTTGTCTCCACAATGGATGCATCTCCACCTATACATATACACAAAATCTTAGTTATCAAATCTCCCCAATAGTAAGCAAGAATTTTTTGGTATTCGTGTTTTGTATCCAAACCTGGTTAACAGAAGGATAGACAGAAGCGAAATCGAGGAGATCATAGATCTTTTTAGAAGAGAAGTTGCTAACACCAATAGATCTACACAAACCCATCTCCAAGCATCTCTCCATGCCTTGCCAAGTTTCTTCAATTCCCACATCTTTTTCAAACTCTTCTTCCTTTGGGATTGGGTCACTCACTCCAGGCTTTAGCTTTATTGGCCAATGCACCAAATAGTTATCTAGATACTCTAGCCCCATTGTCCTATTATTTCATAAATAATATGTCATGAGATTGATGTGTCAACCATCAAAATATTGTCGGTGAGTGTTTGTGTTTGGATAGAGATGCTTACTTGAGAGTTTGTGTGAGAGCAGAGATAGGGTCATGGTGATCACTAGACCATAACTTTGAAGTCACAAAGATATCTTCTCTCTGGACAGTTCCATAGGAGATAGCTTGACCTAATGCAGTCCCAAGAGCTTCTTCTGATCCATATATCTTTGCTGTGTCGAAATGTCTATACCCTATCTGTCATTCCAAGAAGTCAGCCTATGAGATATAAGAAGTTGGATTCTAACAAATTCCTTATTGTTATTGGAATATTTAACATTTTTATGTATTAATTTCTAATTTATTATACATATTCATACTAATATAAACTTTTAATCATATTTGGTGGTCAAGTAATGAATACTCTACTCAGTGTGAGAAGTGATATACAAGAAAACATACACAATATTTTATTTTATTTTATTTTATTTTATTTTTAAACACACAATATATTATAAGATCATCTAATAAAGTTTTTTGTTATAATAAAAGTAACTCCATAAAATAATTTTAGAAGAGAGAAATGAACCTTGATGGCTTGATGGACGGCTGAGATGGTGCTCTCTCGATCTTTTTGAGGACAATAAGTGCCCATTCCAAGCAATGGAATCGTCTTCCCACACCTGAGCCGTGCCACATCAGTCCTCATCTCTCTTTTCTTTTTCTTCTCGTCAGGCTCAATCTGTTTCTCTGTGTTTGAGTGTTGAGTCTAAGACATGTTTATATAGGCCACTGAAAGGTCAACGATGTTGATTTCTTTTATGCTTCCTTAAACAATTTCCCTTTATGACATCAATTATTATATATAGAAGTATTATATATATGTGGAGTATATTATGATAGTTTAATGTATTACATCTTGAAATGTAATATGGAATATTGGGACTATGGACGTATGCACGAGAGTTTTCCATGTCTTCTGGGATTTTCTTAGCCTACCCAAATCCATATCTCTCAAACCTCAAGATGATATCTTCTCTCCTCAATAAATTTCCTCATTAGTATTTTGAGTGTTTCCAAATACGGTTGTTCTTACATTTTATTTTGCAACTTGATTCTATTGGAAACTTTACAAGCTAATTACTTGCCAACTGTTTAAGCTCATCTGACTTTTAATTGGAGTAATGGTGTAGCATTATAGTTTCACATCTCATTTGTAGTGTCACAAGATTCTCCAAAAACTTTATACGC